TGACCGCACTTGCTTACTCTAAGGATCCCAAGTATTATGGGAAAACCAAACACGTAAAGCCCAGATATCACTTCATTAGAGATATAATAACACACAAGGAGGTGGTCTTACAACATATTTCAATGAGTCAGATGATGGTTGTAGATCCATTTAGCAAGCCTATTGCAAGGGATACATTACATGTTAAATCTCTAGGACTGTGTAGACTATAATTGAACTTATGATTTGTAGATGATTATGGGATTTGCATTAGGAAATAATACATTTGTTGCACTTCTATGATTGATTATGCTGAGTAGATATATATGTTTGATTCTTATATATTTGCCACACAAAGTATCATTTAGTAACTAGCACATTCTAAGAAGTATGTCGATAGGTTAAGATTGGCTCTCTCACGCAATCGATCTCCTTTGGCGCGAAGCTAACAAAGATGAGACATAAGTTAGTTATAGCGCTTAGAAAGTGAGTATAGCTCAAAATTTTAATATGTCGTCTTGGTAAGGACTAAGATGAGGCTTTTAAGAGAACAATGAGCCGACATAAATGTTTCCCCACCATTCATGAAATCTATACATAAGACTAGGTGCGAGAAATTCATTTAGCGCTGTTGAAAGTGAGAAAATGAGTACCTCAAGTTAGACGCTTGTCGACTGAACTAAGACCTATAAGGTGTTTAGAGTTTAAGACATACGCTCTGAATTGGCAGATATTCTCCACCGTAATATGCATTTATACTGTATATGCTTAGCGAACAAATAAGGAAGTGAGTGAATGAGTCCTTGCTTCATTAATATGTGAGTACTGTAGGTCATATATTAATCTCATCTGTACCCCATGTGGCTTTTGACTACGTCATAAGCTGAAAAGTTAATAATAGCTACTCTAGTGTTTCAATATTACTTATCGTCGTGTGATTCAACCAAACAGGACATTACTGGAAAAGTAATTAACTCAACTAAGTGGCATTGCGAGCAAAAGGAAGACTGATTTAGAATTACACACATCACTTGTATTCACCGGCTAGCCAGTTGTGTCCTTTTAATGCTAATAGACAACTGTAATACATGTGAAGTTTAGAGTGGATGGAGCATGGATCTAGTGAGGGATTTAGATACGTTTAATTCTGTGTAACCAAATAAGTCTGGGATACTGCGATACATTATTGTTTAACTGCTTTGTCATCTTAGGGTCAATGTCTCCATCCTAGCCCTAACAGGTTTTTAGCTCAGAGCTCCCAAGTGCAAGTGTATTCGTTGGTCAGAGGATTCATTTGTCTATATGATGACTCAAAGCTTAGCTATTACAACATGACGGAGGTCAGTTGTGCCCGTCATGTGCAAGTGGGAGATGTAGAATGTGGGGATTGTTTTGGTTATGCCCACATCAGGCACAACCTCCTCCCTTTGCAACAGTTAAGTGCCACTAAATAAGAAACTGCATAGCAGTTCATTTTATGACAAACCACCTAACTCATCTATATAAGATGAGCACTATCCCTCTCGTTTGTGTACAATAATTACATGGATATCAAGAGAACACCATAGCCAGATATTTGTGAGTTTTGAGAGACCCTTGAGTTGTCAGTTGTATCTTTGGTTCTTATCGGTAATTAAGGATCCGACAGCGATCGTCGTAGAGCGCATGAATCTAGCTGACGATGAATTTCGATCCTCGAACTCTACGACTCAGTAACATATTCTTAATTCCGAAATTTCCAGTTCAATAATATTCTCTAAATTATAACATTAATGAATAAAAAATTGAGCTATGAAAATTATTGATCACGTGAATTGTTTCTCTTCTTGAGCATGTGAAGTGTTCTTTAGCATGAGAATTGTCTCCTCGGATGTGAAGCCCTTACGTGTGATAGAGCTTGTAGCTCATCCTTTTTTATATATTTTTCAGACTACTGAGACTATTATAGACTTGTATAGCGTAGAGCAAAATTTCTATGCGGAACGATGTCGTTAGGTCTAAGTAATCTCTTTTTCCCCCTTTGCATGGATGGTATTTTTGGGGATCTTGTCAGGTTTTGTATTTTTGAAAGTTTTAGCTAAAGAGTGACTTATCTTTAGTTAAGGGTTACGAAAAGCGACTTCTTGTTTGAGTTGTAATCTATGAATACGTATCTTGGAAATTTGAACCAGGGATCTGTATTTATGTATTACATACATGTATTGATTTAGGAGATTTTGGTGGGAATGACGAAAATGGATATAGCGGTGCTGCTCTTCACAATCGTAATAATATTACCTGTGAATTTAGAGATGATGTTTGTGTACATGGGTGATATTCTGTATTTTATGCCCTGCACATAAGAGGTCTTGAAAAATTCATAATTACTTTAAATAAAAAAGTTTAATTGGTCAGTCACCCATTCTTGCGGGCATGACATATATTCAGCAAGGTTGAAGACAAAACCCCACTCTAAGTCCATAGGGTCGAGGTCACAAACAACAGTAACAGTGTATATGAATGTACCTTTGGATAAATCTCCATAATCTGGTTACACTTATGGAGAGGTTCTATTCAAATAGTAAATTTTGTCTCGGTAAGTATCCCTATCTATGATTTACTTAATAGCTTAAATTCGTCTAACTGCAATATGTTGGGGAATTTCACTCTCCCCGCCTACTACAATATGCGTAACTCCGAAGCCAACCCACAATCAACAAGATATAAAACGACCACAATCAAGAAAAAGAACACCATGATTTACGTGGTTCGGTCGACCAACTTCGACCTACGTCCACGAGGCAACAATATGAGAAATTCACTATGTATCAGGGAGAACTACAAGAGGAACTACTCAACTCCCGTCTCTCAATCTCTCAACCTCACATACATAATCAACTCTCATATTCTCTCTAAAGCCTACTCCTTGTAATCTTTTACACGGATAAAGATCACGAAACTCTTACCTCTCGTACAATATTCTTGAATTAGGCTACGCCCTCTGCTAACCCTAGATTACAAGAATATTAGCTCTCTACTACATCTCTCTATTCTCTTCTTCTTAGCTTTTCCCCCAACAATAAAAAAATATATATAGAGAAACCAAAATCATATTTCTAGCCTAACTTCCTAATTATAATAGGATTCAAACTCCTAATCATGATGGAACCCAAACTCCTAATCATGACAGATCTCTAACCCTATCTAATTCTCATGAAGTGCTACAAAGAATCAAAAACACAATCACAATAATCTCCACCTTGGATTTAATTCCCAAACTCCCTTGAAGATATATAATCATCGTCTTGAAATTTTGTCTCTCCCGCTAGAGTCTTATATTTCTTTCGCACTTCAAATCGAAGCAGCCACACTCTTAATCAGAACACCTGCACTCCAACTGGTTGTCTCAGGACCCTCATTATCATCTGCCTCACCATGGCGCCTCCACCTCTCTTGTATGACCAAGAGATCTTCGCCACCTCTGATAATAAAAGCAAATCAATCATGCTTGTCCTCCCAATTTGAGCCTCACAATAGCCTTCCCCTACTTGTCCTTGTGCTCCACCTGCATCGTTCGTCTAGAATCATATCAGTGCACCTCTCCTACTCCACAGTACGAGCCGGATGCCTCTATCTCTTCCACCACTTGGTTTAGACCGAATATGAGTGCTTATCGTCTTCAAGTCCAATGTCACCATCTCCATTACCATGTGTCACTCGGTCGTGCCCACTTGCAAGCTCTACCTAATCTGACACTATCCTCCCCGAGTCTACACTAATCAACTACTGCTCCCGCGATGGCTTTGAATAATTATATGCTGACAACTCTACTGCTAGAATCACATCTGATTCTCTACGCTAATATTATCTATCTCATACTCATTTGTCCTAGCTGCCATTAGATTCGTCTTGCTGTTGAATAGCGAAACATCGAACTTCGGACCCGAAGAAGTCATCATTCTCTAACCACGATCAACATTCAAATCAGTCACTGTAGGATTGAATTTGATAAAACCGACGTTAAAAACAAACTCAACACGTTAAAAAACCCTAGGAACGACTCCTGGATTACCAAAATCCGCCTTCAAATCCTAGATCAAAAGACAGTATCTCAACCGTTGGACCTGTGTGAACAGTACCCGCCGTGCTGCTACAGTGTTCCTGCTATAGTATCCAACTACAGTATGCTGCTGCTACAGTATTTTCCCCTTTTCTCATCTTGATTTTTGTAACGCTGATCTTTAATCTTGCACGAAGTCGTCTTCTATCTTGCGAATTCACTCCGGGATCCATCACCATTGTTCTGATACCAATTGTTAGTGAATTTCACTCTCCCCGTTTACTATAATATGCGCAACTCCGAAGCCAACTCATAATCAACAAGATATAAAACGACCACAATCAAGAAAAAAAGAATTTACATGGTTCGGTCGACCAATTTCGACCTACGTCCACGGGGCAACAATACGAGAAATTCACTATGTATAAGGGAGAACTACAAGAGGAACTACTCAACTCTCGTCTCTCAGTCTCTCAACCTCACATACATATCAACTCTTATATTCTCTCCAAAACCCACTCCTTGTAATCTTTTGCACGGATAAAGATCACGAAACCCTCACCTCTCGCACAATATTCTTGAATCAGGCTACGTCTTCTGCTAACCCTAGATTACAAGAATATTGGCTCTCTCTACTATATCTTCTCTCCACTCCCTTCTTCTTAGTTTTTCCTCCAACAATAGAAGAATATATACAAAAAAACCAAAACCCTATTTCTAGCCTAACTCCTAATTAGAATAGAATTCAAACTCCTAATCATGATGGAACCTAAACTCCTAATCATAATAGATCTCTAACCCTATCTAATTCTCATAAAGTTCTACAAAGAATCAAAGACATGATCCCAACACTATATTCTCTAATTTTCACAATAGAAACAAACATTTCCTCAAGCCCAAGCGTATAATAGGCTGTGATTTGATTTCCACTGTCAAAGAACAAAATTTACTGTTTTGACGGGTGATTTAACAGAAGAAATACCTTGTGTAGGTAAGAGTAAAATATTTGCCACTTCGACAACCTCCTCTCCACAATCAACGACAGAATCCCCTCCACAAATTTCCTCGAAATCTTTCGATCCGCCGTCAAAAACAGATTTTTGACGAGCTGCTCCATAAAAAAATAATCAAAGAATTCACAAAAACCGATCAAATCACAAAACCACGAACAAGTAAAAGAATCCAATCACCTGCTGAGTGAGAGTGCTCCTCCCCCGCCATTAGGGTAAAAAACGGACCGCCTCCGATCGCCATAAGGATCGCACCAATCCGTGGTAAAAGGACCCGCGCGTCCTCCGCGCATGATCGCCTGTATCAAATGGTATGGAAACTCCGTCGTCACCTTTGATTCAGCTTCCTTTGAGAATTCGAGGAGGTGACGCCATCGATCGGTGAAATCACCGGGCAGGATTCTTAGAAAAGCGTTGAGGAACAAGATTCCACCCGAGATTAGAGTGAACGGGAGGGGATTCAAGAAGTGGGAGGGTTTAGTTGCGTGTACCGGGGGAGGAGAGCACCGCAGCGGACG